TGGAGATCTGGATGCAAATGATCTTGATGGAGCTGGGCTGTTCTCAGTGGGGGCAGATGACAGAAGGAGCAATGGGCTCAAGTTGCAGGAAAGGAAGTTGAGGTTGGATATTAGGAAAAACTTTCTCATGAGGAGGGCGGTGAAGCACTGGGACAAGTTACCCAGAGAGGTGGTAGTGGCATCTCCATCCATGGAGGTTTTTAAGGCCCAGCTAGACAAAGCATTGGCTGGGGAATCTAGTTGGGGCTGGTCCTGCTTTGAGCAGGGGGTTGGATTTCACTAGATGTGACCTCCTGAGCTCCCTTCCAGCCCTAATTTTCTACGATTGTATGATCTGATTGTGACAGCCATTTGTCATGTTGCATCTGGTTGGAGAGACATCCCACAGAATTACAGATGGCCACGAGCCTTGGCTGACAATGCCCTGATTGAATATGGGAGACACTTCATCTGCGAACAATTTGAAGCCATATTTTCCCTTCTCTTCAGGTGTGATCCTCACTTATCCCAAGCACCTTTAGATAATATAACTAATAGCATGTGCTCGTATTACCACAGGGCCTCTATTTCACACTAGCAGCTGTATAAAGGACCCAGGAAAGGAGGAGTACATTGCATCTGTTCCAACCAAGTGGTAGGGAAACCCCAGGGATAGCTGGTTGTACCTGCTTATACTTCCTCAGGATGTCTCCTTTGAAGCCGTGGAAGATGTATATTGCTCCTTGGTGATCATCTTCCAAAGGGGCGCCAACGACAATGTCATTGTACGAGTCCTGGTTCAGGTCGGGGACAGACGCGATGCAGGAACCGAACCGGGCGTTCTGGTAACTCTGCAGGTCCTGCAAGGCGCCGCTGGAGACAAACCGGTCCTTTGGGGTCAAAAAGAAAAGCATCAGCTATGAATCAAGAAACCCCCCTCCCAATCTAAGACATGGGCAGAAAACCCAGTACACGAACAAAACCATCCCCATCTCCCCTAGGCAAGGCATTCAAAACCCAAGGAGGCGAGGAGGCAGAAAGGCCGTGAAGCTGACGGGCTATTGCTCCTGATTTTATGTGAGAGGTGCTCCGACATTACTACAGAAGGAAACCCTGGGGCAGAACGGCTAAGGTGAGGGCTGCAGGCTGGGACTCGGGGGACCTGGGCTCTGCCACAGGCTTCCTGTGTGACCCTGGGCACATCACATCACCTGTCTGTGCCTCGGGTCCTTACCTGCGCGACGGGGATAAGACAAAGGTGTTTTGAGAGGAGAGGTGCACCTGACACAGAAAGGAAAGACAGATGTTTTCATAGAGATTGGAGCTAGTTGTCCTGTTGTCTACTCCCCTATATAGATGGCCTTGGGCAAGTCACTTAACTTCATTCTGCCTCAGTTTTCCCCTCTGTATAATACAGGCAATAATCTGCCTTCCTCAGACAGCGTCCTGATGCTTCATCCATGAGCTAGGCAGCACCCTGCTCTCCTCCCGGGGCACCTTGCTCTTCAGAAAGGTGCCTTTATGGTCATCTCTCAATACTGTGACGGCAAAACGCAGGGGTGCCCAGCACAAGGTGAGCACCTCTCTGGGGAGGTCTGATATCTTTGCATCGTAGAGCAAATCCTGACCCCCTGCTCCAGTGGCTGAGGGGCCGCAGGGTTTTTGAAAATGCAGACAAGTCCTTTCCTACAGCAGGCAGCAGAGCCCAGCCTGCTTCACCTCTGGGCTTCTTCGAAGAGAGGACGGGGCTGGTGTCCCACAGCTGGAACTGCAGCCTCTGAAGCTGAGGTGTAACGTGTACCCTGAACATTTTTGCATTTCATTGCAAATGTAAACCAGGCCCAGCATCGACAAAGCTTCCCAGCAAAGAGGAGACCCTCTCACAGGATGTTATTCGAGAAGATCGCATGCAATTTGGTTGGAACAGAGCTACGGCGAGGACATCATTCATTTCCACAGTGAATAGCGTGGCAGGGGTGCAAAAAACAAGTAAAGAAAGTCCTGAGGCTGTGTGGCAGAAAGCCACCTTGGTTTCTCCCCAAAA